GTTTTCTGTAACTGGAAATAATAACGAAAGTATTGATTGCCGTAACGTTTGCCAAAACAAAGTACACCATTCTGGATGACAGTACAGCGCCCCCCCCCCCCCACCCGCGACACACTTCCCTATCATGTCAATTCACGGGGCTTGTTCTTTTCGCTGACATTAGCGCAACTAAGAAAACTTGCAGGTTGTCCGGGCATTTCGGCGCATCGCAGCGCAATTTCAGCAAATTTCTTGGTTTGGGTGCAGTTCGGCGCAACAATGGGGAAATGTATCAATTTGGCACAATTAGCGCAGCTGGTGCACCACTGGGGATGACTTTGTGCCTTCTCTCAACCCCTCCGTATCATCTCAATGTATGGGCATGGCTTGTGCATGCTAGCTTATGCATGGGGCTAGCTCATGCGCGCCCATGTATGTGGGTGTCTCGTCATATTGGCGACGCCTCTTAAGAGCCATAACTGTTCATCATCACGCTCAGAATTTTATTGGTCTCCGCTAACAGCGGTCAAGGTGACCCTAAGTGAATCAGCTACCGGTGTATCGTACGAACGAAAATATGAGGAAAACGAATGCTGTCGCCTCTGATTGATTTTGTTTACTCCAAGTGCCCGGAAAGGATGTTTTTCTTTTTCATAACATAACATGGAAAATGCAATGTTTTCCATCCGCACCACAAGATAATCTACACCTCGTTCTGAGTAATGATGCTCACCACGTGGTTTTATTTGTTTCAACTATTCAAACTCTCTGTAACGCCAGGCTGGCAGCTCGCTTTGATTTCATGCTCGTGGCCAGCGAGGGTACCATATGCCTCCTTCCCCTCTTCCACCTAGCCCGACGCTCTCACGAAGGGAAGGGGAATTTTCACCGGAAATAAGTAATGAAAATAGAAGTTTTTTAAAGACAAAGTAATCATCAAAGGTTTCTCCCCCCCTCCAAAAAAAATGCCAGCATATACACGGAGGGAATGATCGAGAGTGGGGCGAAGCATTCGTCCGTCCTTTCGTTCTTGCTTCCGTCCGTCCATGCGTGCGTCTGTGTGGCTGCCCGTGCGTCCATCCGCTCGTCCGTGCGTGCGTCTGTTGGTGCGTCCGCACGTCCATCTGTGCGTCCGTCCCTGCGTTCGTCCATGCATCCGCTCCTGCGTCCGTCCATGCGTCGATCCGTCCGTGCAGCCATCCGTGCATCCGTACATGCATCCATCTGTCTGTGTGTCCGTTCGTCCACCAATTCAACACTCCAAGTACCACCATCTCGCATCTTTTCACCATATATTCCCCATATAGAAGCACCGCCATCCAGCGGACATTCCAAGGACTGAATGAGAGGAGGCACACGCACACTTTCTTACGGCTTGCGCTTCGTGTCTACTTCCCACCTTGAACCACTTCTAGTTCATGGTATATACTAGTTCACTGTATTCATGGCACTGCTGCCCAACGCTCGCTAAACCTTTCTAAAACCAAGGAGGTTACGCCCGGCGAGTATAACGTAGCAACCCTTTCTTGTCAGATAGTGCTCAATGTACAGGCCAATGGCTGCTAAGGGGGAATGAGAGACAGGAGAATTCGGCTTTTCGTTAACGCACACGCTGCGATTTTTTTATTTTTGAACAACGCACAGAAGAAATCTCTCACCGGCACCACCTTGGAGGTCAAAGCGTAAGACTGGTTACACACAACGACTACGTCTACGAGGAACGAACGGGTGCCGCTATAAGGAGCTTCGCCCCTAAAAAACAAAATTTCTTGCTAAGGGTCTTTGGGATTCCCTGTGGTCACAGAAGCCTAGACACACTTTCGCATTTGCGTCTAGTTGTAGCACGTGTACACTTGCTATAGCGTAAACTGCCAACAACATTTATGTCAACATGGTCTGCATTTGGCCAAAAAATTATTGTGGAGTATAGCACACAAGAGGATACTACATTACTGTGCCGTGTCGGTTTGTGTTCAAACCTATGCGGGGTCATTTGACTTAATTGCATGAGGCGACAATGTGGCTGCGCTTACGTCTGTGCGATTGCACCCGCGATCAAATGACATAAATGATGTTTTCGGCGTATCTCAGCGTGTGGTGTACCTCTGTGAATACATTTAACGTTCACTAAATGATATGCACTTTGCTGTAGCTTCGAGTAAGCGTCATATGACTGACCACATACTTTGCAGAAATAAGAAAGCAAATGCAAGTCTATTCTGGAAACGAAACATCTACCATACCGTGGTTGTCAAGGTCATTGATTGCGTCCCCGGGACCTTCAACTACCGTAGTGTGAGCATCCAGAGTTCAAGCGTGGCAGACGTGAAGTCATGTCACGTGATATGCTATCGATATACGCGTCACAGCTGCTCTCACTAGCACCATCGCCACTGCGGTACTGAACTTTAATGAAACGTTATTTCGATAGCCTTTGCAAAACCAAGCCAAAGATACCACACGCTCGTGAAAACTAAATTTACAATAAAGAGTTCGGTAGATATTTGTATTTTGTTTTCTTCGTGCAGCCAGGACTTGACATCAAGGCCATTCAAGCAAAGTGTCTCAAGTGTGCTTTTCCGAAGCTGTCTGAAGCTGACGCGGTGGCACAGTACAAGGGTGTGGTGAAGAACTTCGAGAGTTACGAGGAAAACGCCTTGCGCGTCAGTTCAGAGGTAAGCTATGTTTCACGGGTTCGACATTTTTTCACTAGCAAGTAAGAGCTCAGCTGTCTGCACCTGAGGTCAGCAGACCTCAAGCAATACTGGTTGTGAAGTCAAGAAACAAAGAACTCTTACAAAACAAGAGAAATGCTACCTTCAGCAGCAATAGTTCACCAAAGGCTGCAACACCGATTGGAAAGTCAGAACGGCCTATTTTATATCATGTACATAGTGCGTACAGTAAGAGCCGACGAAACCGCATCAGTGTGTAAACAAAGGCTGAGTGTGATTTTTTCTTAAAATCAATCGCGGTGACATAAAAGCAACAAGTAAGATTTTAGTTTGAACATATGAAGGCTGTTCTAAGTCTGAACACTAATGCCCCAAAAAACGTATTGTTGCCTTGCAAATAAATCAGCTATGCCAATCAATCAAATTATGTCAAATACGTAAACCGGCATCCTCGGGTGCCGGCTGGCTTTCTTGCATCATCCAGATACCGGTGTCATGTTGTGCGAGTCATTCTTTTCTTTTTGCATTTGTTGCACAAAATTTAAATTTTTATAGCCATAAAGTAATTCAGGAGCCGTGGCACTGTGTAAACAAACCTTCATACCAGGTACCAAATATTTATCATTGTAAAGCTAAGACAATTTATTCAGCACAGAGGTCACTTGAAAAAGTTAAGCCAAGGCGGGGCAGCTGTGTGTGACGTATATCTGCAAGGAAGATGCAAAAATATCAGGAAATGAAAACACATCCAGCGGCTGGCGCTAAAAGCACCTGCCGATGATAGCTCTGCAAGTTTCTCCCCCAGCAAACTTGGGAGATGACGACAACCCGATATTCTTGCGGGACCCAGTCCATAATTAGTGATCTCAGAGTAGGGTATATATTTCCGTTGACCAAGACAGTACACTTCTGACAGATGATAGCTCTACGTTAAAATTGAGATGGTCTGCTGAAGTCTACAAAGATGCGGACATCTCAGCGTTTTCTGTAGCTGAATAGCAACGAATCGTTTACTTTTGAAAAAAGAAATATTGACGATGAAAAATCACTAACGTGAAAATCTAAACACCGTCGTACTCTCTGATGGACGGAAGTATTATGAAAAGTCAAGACGCATGCTGTAGTGGAGTAATTCTGATTCATTTTAACCACTGGGGGTAGCTTAGTAGGTGCCTAAACCTCAATACACTTGTTGGTGCCGTCGAAATCTGGCTGCCATGAACGGAAAGTGAATGGAAAGCGAATCACGTCCTCGAGTTTAGCAGCATAGCACCTTTCCCGCTATGCTATACCACATCGCTAGACCGCTGTACAACACTACACCAGAACACCACACAACAACGTCGCTATACTACCACAACGGCTAACATACATCTTGGAAATAGCGCGATAACTTTAGGAAAAGGGCAGAAACAATAAGCACTCCACATTTGAACTTCGTGTCAAAGGATTGATATAAAAGCGAGGGGTCAGTGCAAGGTGATTTATACAAGTTTCTGTTAAATTATGAGGCAGCTGGCTGGCGGTTACAACGGTTCGCACGCCATTATGGGTCATACCTCCAGGGCGTAAGATGGCGGCGATGGTACAAGGAATGGCTCATCTGCATCAGTGGACCGTTGCACTATAATGGACACGAGTCGCAATTTCAGTGGCTGTGACATCTCTACAACAATAGCGACGACCGTGATGGCCTAGTTCGTCGGCTCATAAGGTTTTATGATAAAATAGCCTACGTGTTTGAGTGCCTTATCTCGGCGACCTTCAACGTGATGGCGGTTATGAATACCACCCACAGTGCATTAGATTGCACGAGAGTGAGAGAACAGAATAACAAAAAAGCACGACGTTTTTTTTCATGTGTTGTCATTATGTACATGGGCACGCACTGTATATTAAAATGTAAACAGTAACAAAAAGCACCAGCACGGCACGAAATATGATGCGCAGGTTTCGAAAGCCATAGGTCATTTTCCACTGTAGCAGTGTAGCAGATAACGCTTTTATTTGGGGTAGTTATTACACTTTTGCAGCGTGCTATATAATAATAAAATGGGTACTCGCAGAATTTAGCTTTCGTATAAGAGATAGCCTGACATGTAACAAAATGGCAGTGTTGGCTTTTGTCTAAACGCTTGAGTCGAAATCACACCGATTTTGCACAAACTTAAGATGTTGCAAACAGAATGATGCGCATTAAATAGACTAGCCCTGAATTGTTGTGTTTCAATCCAAGAGTACCATACATGTTCTGTATTGTTTGTCATCAACTCTGAGAATCGTCATGAGTCTTAGGAAAGGCGTCATAGTATATTGTTCGTGGTGTTCTTTTTTCTCACAGCTCAAGGCTGCCATGCGGTTTATGTTGGACGAAGGGCCAGTAAGTGATCAATATTTGCATTCGCTTATAACAAATTTTATCAGCATATAGTAATGAGAATGAAAACGTTATACTGGTTTCAGTTTCCGTTGTGAAAATGTCAATATATACCAGCCACGTCTTTTGTCACTGTCGTGTGGACGCTGGTGTCATTCATAAATGTGACTGAATGCTTCGATACAAAACTAAAAAAAAGGTCTATTGGTACAAAGGTATTTTGATTCACTACGCTGTGTGTAGTTTGTGGAAGATGGCGAATATTTTCAGCGCAGAATCGAAACTTAGGTCCACGTCGAAAAGCTTAAGGAAACATTGAAGTCAAATATTGAGAAAGATGTTGATTGCTGAAATAGCGGTACAGAAGCATAGTAGTGCTACCTTTGCGTTAAGTAAGTGTTCATTTTAATATAAAACACGTTTTAGTGACCTGCATCGTGTTAACACACTTCGAATTCCCCGCCTAAAATTGTCCGTCTCACGTCACTGTGGCTGTGCACATCATTGCCCGGCTTCACTACGCGGCCGCCGGCACTAGTAGCAGCAGATCGATAGTACAGTAGCGGAAATCACAGCGGTAACAACGGCCACTGAACAATTTTCGGCCATGGCCTCTGAGGTGTCAGACGTGCTTGGTTCAACTGGGCCCCGCTAGATGGCACAACCTGTGCAGTTTAACCAGGTGTAAATTGAACTTTTGAAACACTCACGCATTCCCCATAGTAACGTCCGGTGGTCCTTTTTTCCATGAGTCAAACAGACACAAACAAGCAGTACTTTATTAGATCTTTTGATACACAGCAAGTTCTTTATTTAGTGCAGCCAGTTTGATTACTTGTGATTATTTGTAGGCGGTACCTCTCACTAACATTTCTTTTGGGCCTAGTTGGTTTGTGATCATAGGGGTACCTCTCGGGTCATCTCTGTATAATTTTGCGAATGCCTTACGAGTAGGGCATGTGTACACGTGCGTTTGCCTTAATTTATTGGTAAGCAGGACAGTGCTGTTGATAATATTGTCGTTTTAGACGTTGTCGTACATTGAGCTATGACTCTGCCATAATGTTTTTTTTTTACTTTAGTGTCATTTCAAGTCCTTGATATAGCACATTTATCGTCATATCTCATTATCGTTTGATCTACGAGTAAATACGAAGGAATGAAACACTGAAGCGCATTTATCGGGGAATACCTCAAGCGACGAATGTAGCAATCAGCACGTAAAAAAGTTACAATGGCGTGATCTACGTTTCAATAGAGAGTTTTATAAGTGGCGCACCAAGAAGCTTGGAACCAAACAAACTGTCAACAGCTTGAGCGCATGAACAAAACCCGAGCCACTCTTGCGCTGTTGCACTGCCTAGGTATATCCATTGCTCAAACATTGAAGACAGGCGTGTGCCCCCAAGACACCTTGGGTCACAGCGAGACGACACAGACGAAACGCGGGGCGGCACAGTATGGCACGCGTATCGCATAATTTTAAGTTTGCCATAAGTGGCGACACATGCCTCTGACCCAACTATCGAACTCTGCTGCACATCCGAAACACACACACACACACACACACACACAAAAAAAAAAACAGCCTATATCTAACCTGGTCTCTTGAGTTCCCAATCCAGAAAGTCCCTGATTACTCTTCGTAGAAAGAATTCACCAAAACGATATCTAGGCGTTGGGAAGGATCATTGTTTGTAAAAGTTCCCAGTATTTATGTTTTAGCAACAACAGCACCCCCCCCCCCCCTGAGTAGGTTTACAAATAAATTGAAAACGTTACTTACCAGTTCACTAAGACAAATACGGAATTGTAAAGGACAGCACGAGCAGTCATTGTCCCAGGTAAGCCTCTTGAACAACAAGTTATATGCAGCACATAAAGGAAGCCCAGATGTTCCAATTAAATCTGAAGCCCACCATTACAGCATGCCTCCTGAGGACTTTGGCGCATGCAATTCTTCATGACTGATTGCCGGAGCAAGTAAACTGGCGCAAATGATTTTGCCTAGCTAAGTTAACTTAGCACCACTGTTTTCGGGTAGCTAAAGCGCTTCACGTACATTGTGGACAACGTATAAAATAGTAAGCGCGAAAATTGCGACATACCCACTACGACTTTCAATACAACTGAAACGAAGTGTGTGCTCCTTGGGCAATAAATTGCCTTAATCCAAACAAAAAAAAGTCAAGCTAGAACTTGTGCACTCTATTTCTTTCTCCATATCACACTGTTCTTTTTCTCGTGTTTTTATGTGCAAAACTTACCACACAAGCAGATTTTGGATAACAAGCATGCACAGTTCCTTTGTATGGTGCAAAACAAAAACAGACAAGAAGTAGACAAGGACTTATTATCGTTTAGCGTATTTTCTACCCTTTGTTATCACAATTGCACTTGTCCTATTTTCTCATTTCTGTATGAATCCATCGTGTTTGCTTAGCTAGAGTAAATTATTCTGTCATTGCATATGGTTGCTTGCATTGAGTAATAGCCTTAGTTCTGAAGTGCTTAAGTTTGATGGCTTTCGTTCTGCTTTGCATCATACTTAGTGCATGCCCATTTCCACGCAGACTAAACAAATGAACGATGCCGCCCGCACCGTGTGCCTTAAAACTATGGCCCCTGGAGTCACTTCCGACAAGTACATGTCTCACGCCATTGGCATGTTCAAAAAAGGAGACCTGGAGGCCAAGAAAAAGGTACGTCTAACAGTCCCCTATCTCTGAAGGTGCATTGCTGGATTTGCTTTTCTGAGCTGTGTTAGGCTTGGATAGAGCAATGTCGATTGACATGGTGTGGCAAACCTAGTCGTAAAAGCTCATTTCATGATGAACCACAGTGAAACTTCAGAGACGGGCCTGTAAGAAGGATCATCCTCGTCTTGGTAGTCACGCGGTGGCTCATGACGTGTTACCTACGCAACCAAGCTTTCCCGCAACTGAAGTTCGCCTAGTTTACGAGGAAGCCCTCTCGGAAAAAAGTTCGCGCTATGTGTTCTAAGCTAACCTGAGTGATGCGCAATGTCATTCAGCAATTGTTCTCTCATTTACACCTCATTCATTTTTTATGCATGCAAGTTTGCTTTTTATTCAGAGCTACCAAATGATGAGGCTTCTTACCCTTCGTATATAGAGCTTTGAATGGTAGTTAAGGAGCTCACAAGAGGCCTCAAGTTCCCCATACAGGCGTGCATGGTGTAATATAATATCAATGAATGGCGCGGCAAGTCACTTACTTTCTGCGTTCTACTTCACTTCGCGATTGTGGGAATCACGTGATACGCGTCGGTGGACCTAAGTCTGTCCCGTGAGTACTTCTCAAGCTACGCTCCTACACTTATGACTTATCCATCGTGTGACCTGGTGATTGCAGCTTTGAAAGAAGGGAACTAACGAAGAAAAAATAAGCACTATTACACATTGGCAAGCTGTATAAACATGCATTTCAAGACTTTCATAAACAGACAAACACAGGAGTTTCAGTGGGAGTCATTTGTGCAAGCCTCTAACCAATTGGCAAGTTTTGTGTTCTGACTGAACACCGCAATACATTTTTTTACAAAAGGCCCCTCAAATATCAGTGTAAGTCACATATTGTTCGAACAATAAATTTCGTGAGGCAAGATGCTCTGAGGTGAAGCAACTCACTCCTTCACTTTATAATAAAGTTCATGACAGCTGGGTAGGCTCCCCACAGTACGAAGAACTACGTGCAGTTTTATTCCATTGTTTTCATCAGATCTTTATCACGTGCATCGCGAGAAAGTGAAGGAAAAGTATTCTTCGGCTAGCTTTGCTGTTCCATAAATACAAAAGACGGCTTTGTGAAAAGCAATACAGCTCTCTGCACTATTTTATGCACCTATGGTTCCGCGAAGGATTGTGAGGGAAGGTGGATGTCGTGAAGACCCAGCAGATTCTTGGAAGGTTGCACCTGAAGTCATCCTTTTTCGCTTTCACTTTGCAGATTGACGCCTGTACGTACAAGAATTCACTGAAAGGAAAGGTGCGTACCATAACGAGTAATACCCCTGTCACATGGCCACCACCTTTTTTACTCCCCTAAATAGATTCGGTCAAATGCATTGTTCGCAACTTGAGGCCCACGAGAACGCCGCGAAGACACGACGAATTTTCTGTTTATTAGCCCGTGAACTCTGACACACCTGCATCACGTACCACAATTTCGAGACGAAGAACGAATCGCAAACCGCAGATCTCGAGAACTTTGATAGGTGACCCTCCTGTGACCTACTCGCCTTCAACTGAATTTATCTTGCCTGTTCTTGCCAATAGTCATCATTGTCTTTGTAGTGTTTTATAGCTTCCCCTAGATATTTGACAGGTGTCGTCCTCCACTTCACATTGGCGGAAAATTTCGGTCTGAATGACCACTCTCCGAACGAAAAACCAAGTACTTTCCCTAGTTCACCCGACTACTAGTGGCATTGCTGAAACTCTTCACGACAGCGATAACCTCTGCCACACTTTCTTTGTGCAACAAACTGCCCCATCATCCGCATATGCCCGAATTTAAACTTCTGATGCCTGCAACCTAAAACCGTTAATGCTGCTGTTTTCAATTTTTGCTTAGCACAAGGTTTCTATATAGATGCTGAACAAAATAGGGCTGAGCGGGCATCTCTGACGGACGGAACCCCTAATGTTAATGGGGGCACCTAATGAATTATAAACTACTGAACGTATCTTGCAGTTGCGATATGCCAAAGCAATGCCATCTCTGATTACGGAACCAACATTCACATGGTATAGTATGGCAATCAAGAAGACATGAGAGACACAGTGAAATGCCTTTTCGAGATCGAACTGCAGTATCGCCACATGCACGACCGTTAGTGGCGCCGCAACACACGAGGACACATCGCAGTTTATTTATATTGGTCACAATAGAACGTCCCATATTGCCGCAAGTTCCATGAGACCAAACCACTTCTTTCAAGACACCCTGTAGTCGCCGCGCTAGTACTTTCATCAAAATTGTGTAGTCACAGTAAGTTAATGATATAGGCCGATATGACGGCACTAGATTCTATGACGGAACTATGATGGAACTCGTCTGTCTCTTTGGTCTTGGGTATCAAAGTAGTATGAGCTTCACTAAAAGACCGTGGCAGACTATCTAGTTTATATGACTCGTTGAAGACTTCTGTAAGCAGTCCGGATAATTCACATTTAAATGTCGTGTAAAACACAGCACTCAGGCCGTCAGTCCAGTGATTTACCAGGATTGAGCTTATCTGCGACTTTTTATACTTCGGTTTGTGATACAGGCTGTCGTAACACTGCTTTTGTGTCATCAGACAAACGTGGCATTCTTATGAGAAACAACTCTTTAAACACCTTCACATGAAATGGTGTAGTCATGAATAATGCCTCGTAGTGTTTAAGAAAAAAAATTGCAGCATATCCACGAGGTGAATGATGGAGATTGGGGCGAAGCATCCATCCGTCCATTCGTTCTTGCTTCCATCTTTCCTTGCGCCCGCCCGTGTAACCATCCGTGCGTCCATCCACCCGTCCATGCGTGCGTCTGTTTGTGCGCCCGCACGTCCGTCTGTGCGTCCGTCCCTGCGTTCGTCCGTACATCCACCCCTGCGTCCGTTCATACGTCCATTCGTCCGTGCAGCCATCCATGCGTCCGTTCATGCATCTGTCTGTGTGCCAGTTCATCCATCTAGTCAACACTCCAAGTACCACCATCTCGCATCTTTTCATCATATATTCCACATATAGAAGCACCGCCATCCAGCGGACATTCCAAGGACTAAACGAGAGGTGGCACACGCACACTTTCGTACGGCTTGCGCTTCGTGTCTACTTCCCTCCTTTAGCCACCCCGAGTTCATGGTATATACTAGTTCACTGTATTCATGGCACTGCGGCCCAACGCTCGCTAAACCTTTTTAAAACCAAGGAGGTTACTCCTAGCAAGTATAACGTAGCAGCCCTTTCTTGTCAGATAGTGCTCAATGTACATGTCAATGGCTGCTAATTGGGAATACGAGACAGGAGAATTCGGCTTTTAGTTAACGCGCACGCTGCGAATTTTTTATTGTTCAAAAGCGCACAGGAGAAATCTCCCACCGGCTCCACCTTGAAGGTCCAAGCGTAAGACACGTTACGTACTACGACGTGGGACGAACGGGTGCCGCTTTAAGGAGCTTTGCCACTAAAATCCCACACAATGCCATCATTGTCTGTCATCTATACAACATTGCATTCGATAGTTTCTATATGATTCCACCTGGCGTGACTTTTCTCGAGTCCTAGTGGCCGTTTGCTGAAACTTGATACGGTAATTCTATTGCCGTCTCAGAAGGCAATTTACTTCATTTTTACCGATCACGAACTACGTACGGCCAAGTGGACACCGTCTAAAGTTGTGGCGTCATTGTGTTAGTTGCGGGAACCTCAAGGTGGCGTCGCTACCCACACGTTTTTTATTTATATTTTTCCGCATCTTTCCATGTCAAGTGGCGTGATTTTGATGTCATGAATGCGTAAGTTGGTAGTACGCGAAAAGACGTCTTAGATGTGAAGCAGCTTTTGCTTGGGGCTCTGTCCGTCCTTCCCTCATGTGTCCACTCCCAAACTGCTTATGAGCATCCCAACCCCCTTTTACGCTTTCCCTCTCCCGTGTCGGTGGCGAAGGCAACGTTTTCGTGAGACAAAGTGCATCTGCTTTGTTCGTAGGCGTTGATCGTATGTCTTGCGGCGTTCCATGTTTCCATGAGTCTGAGCCTGTCTGCTTTAGTTATCGCGTTCGATGTATGTGGCGTATGCACTGAGAGACCGGCTATTTAGCAGTGCTACAGTCATGATAACTGCCAGTGTTGGTGACCGGCAGCATTAGTCAGTGAGAGGCTCTGGATGGTGGGGCACCTGCTTAAGGTGACGTAGACGAGTTTCTGTTGTTGCCGTTCAGCATGTCCCCGCTACTACGATTCCACACATGGTTTCCTTTAGCGGAAGATGATGTAAATTTGTTTCTCTTTAGTGCACCTTACCTTTCAAGTCGCCGTACAATCATGTTCTTATGCTCCTGATATAAGCGCTAATTATGTGACTCCCCCCAGCCTGCCCACCCCCTCAGACAATGCTCCAATGTTGGTGCCTTTCAAGCAATTTCAATAAGTGAATAAATAAATAAGTAAATAAATGACGCCAAAGCGCCTACTACTGAAGTGTTACCGCTGAAAGAGCACGTGACCTGGATTTTCGTATGTCGTTCTATTCACAGTGGGTGCGTGCCAGACAGACAATGATTCGCGAGTGTGCGCTTGAAGCCCAGAAGAAGCTGCCCGCGAACCTCAGGGGTGACCTGCAGTTCCTCTACGCCCTGCATCTCAACTCAACTGCCCTGGAAATTGTGAGTTTAACATACGATTATTTCGAATTAACCACTTCATTCCACTTGGGAGATATCACGTTGCTCTATATCGTGAAAGCACTAGACTTTTTTTAAAGAAATATTTTTGGTATAGCTTAGGATAAGAATTTGCCTCAGTTGTTATTCAAAAAGGAGAGCTTTCCTCAATAATTGTAGCACATCGTATCTTTGAGATTGATAAAACTTTTACGCATTTGAAAGGAAGCAACAGGTGCCTCGTAACTGTACGAGTTGACTTGTTATTCTATGTCTTCAATTAATTTTAATATAACTTGAAACTCGGCCATAAAGAACTACAAAATTATCCAAGCGGCACCTATTGGTACATTTAAATAGCACCGGAGTTGTGTGACACAAGAGAGAAAACCTTTATAGGAAGGAATTATTTATGGATGCGGCTTTAGTCCAGGTTCCCACTGGTTCTAACCCCTTTATAAAACTTATGCACAATCATCAGCCAACAAGCAGCCGCTGTGCTCAATTTACGCCGTGAAGAAGGCTAAACGCGCACGCAGCGTCACATCTGCACACACGGACCGTAGGTATCAGCGTGTCACGGCTCATGGTAACGCCAATTCCGATATGTTTTCATGTGTCGGATTACACAGATTAAAGACATTAAAGAAAAAGAAAAGATTAAAGAAAAAGGTATGCAGGAAATTAACCTTTGGGTAATTAGATTTGCTCGTGGCTCTCTAGAAGCAGGTGCTCTACCTACTGCTTACGACTAGCCCAGCCTTTTTGTTTGGCGTGCTTAATAAATGCGGCATGTGACAGCATCGCTACTCATCAGAGCACAGGTGTCACGCTGAGAGGAGAATTTTTTCGCGCCATGCGCTTGCAGGAACCGGAAAAAATAACTTCTTGTATACGAGCTGCATCGTGTGTACTCGTGCATGCCTATGCTACTTTTAAAACCATACTTAGGATAGCAAATAAATGTTAGACAGGCAGCCCGTGTGTGTCATTGATTATCAGCGAACAAACTTATTTGGTTGGAACGTGCTTTATGCAGTTTCCTTCAACTGTGGAATTATGGATGGTAGCGTTTGGTGACATGCCTAGCGCACGTAATGCTTCATTTCTCAAGCATTTGATTTGCTATCATTACCGAATTCAAAGAGCCGGTCCGGGTGTACTGAACAACCGCCTCTCCTACATTTTTGCCCTAGGAGCACATATCAGTTTGCCCAAAACTTGATCCTCCTCGGAAAAATCCGGTATTCACCTCTCTGTTCTAAGAAAATAGTAACGGAGGCTTCAAGAGTCAGGCGCTTTTCTTCTGAAACAGGGAAAAAACTGCTGTTGCGGTATATGTGTTAAATTAAAACGAGGCTGTGCTATCATTGGTTGCGCTTTGACGTGGTTAACAGCACTTTCTTAGTGTCATTGCTGTGCCTAGCCCCGGTGCATTGAAAACAGACATACAAAATTTATAACAAGCGTAAAGCTTCATTCTTGAAAACGGCAGGCTCTCACGTGACTCGGTGACACACTTATACTTTTTCATGATTTCCAGGCAATTCTCTACCCGTAATAGCTGTCAAAGTCGCAACTAGGAAACACCGCTAACGAATACAGGCCCTTGCGCACTTGTCTGACTTTTTTATGCCTCGATTGCCCATTAACAAAGCAGATACAAACAAGAAGCTATAGGAACTGCAGCAGTACATATCAGACGCAAGCCGCTAACATGGCGCCTAATTGGTAGCTTCGTCAAACCTTCGACAGATGGCAGCCCTTTTGCATGGCAGTCAATTAGACACCTTCTCACCTTGCCGATCAGCCTTTTCTTTTTCGCCAGGTCAGAGCTGGGCAAGTCGCTCCTTTCACTGCTGCAACGTCTGTTTTAACGCCATTTCTGTTTCTATCAGGTGTCGGCAGGCTTGAGCAGCCCCTGTGATCAAGCGAAGGGCAGAAACCATTAAGGACGTGAGTTTTGTGACATGTAATCAAGAAGGTTTCAAAAAAATCACAGCATATCCGTGGAGGGAACGATGATGAGTGGGGCAAAGAGTCCATCCGTCTGTCCATCTGTCCGTGTGTCCATACGTCCATGCCTGCATCCGACCACGTTCGACAATGCAGACGGCATACGGGTAACACTGATGACACGTGAGCCAAGGAACCCGAGTGCAAGCGTCTTCAACGAGCCCGCCGCTCAGCTTTGTCCGTGCCACAGCAACGATCCGTTCACGTACGGCGACGATCCATGAAACAGGTACTCGTTCTCTACGCACTCAGCCAAAGTGCTTGCCGCAGCCAATCGGAGAGTAGCGGCACTTCGGATAGTAGAGGAAGAGTAACGCCATCTGTGAAATGAGACGAAAAATGGTCACACATTTCTTTTGCCTCTTTTTCTTTCTCGTCTCTACTCTCGGTGGCGCGTGACCAGTGACAAGGTTGGACTAAGAGGAGCTTTGCCCTGAATCTCGAGAAAGATAACCTGATTCGGCAAATCGATGCAATTACAGTGGCTCCGACATGGAAATGAGCCATCTAATTTCAACTATGGGTCAAAACAACGCACATCTCTAGCGCATGTTCGTTTCATAAATGAAAGGTCGCTCGTTCGAATCCCACAAATCAGGCCGACAGCAGTATTCGAACCAGTGGCCTCCTGGTTATGAAACAAACGTGTGACTAGGGCAATGTATCTTTTCTTGCCTATTCTTCAAATTAAACTTTTAGTTTCCATGTCGGAGCCATTAAAATGCATCAATATGCCGATTCAGACAAAGTTTTTCGAGATTTTTTGAAGGTCATATGCGCTTATAACTTTCGAAAGATACAAAAAAGGAAGATCCTGAGCCTGACATTGCGGGTTGATAATTATGGCATGATATCGGCTGATAGGCCAAGTGTTCGTTTTATAACAGGAAGGTCCGTGGATCAAGTCCAGCTTTCGGCTTTGTTGCCAACAGAATTTTTTTTATGAAATTTTTTCACACTCATACTCGCGGCAACTTGGCGGCATGGAACCGTGAAGCCTGGGGGTTTTCGTGCCACCAAGTTCCACAAGGTGGACTGTCATGAAACATAAAAAAAAAAAATAAAACTTGAACGCTTTGGCGAATTTTAGTTGGAAGTCGCACCGACAGCAGGATTCGAACCACTAACCTACGAATTATGATTCGAACATTCAACCTCTCAGCCGACGTCACGCCGTGACACTTGTACTGCAATGTTGGACTCGCCAACTTCCTCTTTTAGGTCTTTCGAAACTGATAACTACATCTGACCTTCAAAAATCGCAGAATATTATTGGAAGTGAATGATGATGATGAGCAGGCCGAAGCTTGCGGTCATTCATTCATTCGTTCATTCGTTCGTCCATCCGTCCGTACGTCCTTCCGTCCGTCCGTCCAGTCGGTCCGTCGGTTGGTCGTTGGTCGGTCGTTGGTTCGTTGGTTTGTCCTTGTGTCCGTAAGCCTGTGCAGGCGCCCATGCGCCCGATCACGTTCGAAAATGCGGATGGTGCGTGGGTGACGTCAACGAGACGTGAGCCAAGGAAGCTGAATGCAAGCTTCTTCAGCGGGCCCGCCACTCTGCTTCGTCCATTCCCCACCAACGATCCGTCACGAGCAGTGACTATCCAGGAGACTGAGAGAGGCACTCGTTCTCCATGCACTCAGGCAAAGCGCGGACAGCAGCTAATTGGAGAGTAGCGGCACTTCGGAGCCCTTCGCGCCCACTGCTTCGTTTCGTCAATGCCCCACCAACGATCCGACACGTACGGCGACGATTCAGAGATTGGGAGAGGCACTCGTTCCCCGTGCGCTAAGGCAAAGCGCGCACAGCAGCCAATCGGAGAGTAGTGGCATAGTAATGCCATCTAGTAAATGGGACAAAAAATGGCCTTCGATTTATTTTGCCTTCTTTTCTTTCTCGTCTCTTCTTCTCTCGGTTACGCGTGACCAGTGACAAGGTTAGACTAAGAGAAGCTTTGCCCCTAAAATTGCGTAATATAAGGGATGATGATAAACCCTGGTTTGAATACATCGCCACCTCAGGACCTTATATCCTGTTAGGCTTGTGTGTAGGTTTGTATAGAGCTGTTTCATGTTCGGAAGAAACAGTTAAGACATCGTCGACATGGTTAGGTGGTTGTAGCGATAATAAAAATGGCACAGCATCTGTAAATCTGCCTCCGAGAACAGCGCGTAGAACAGACTCCCATCTGTTCATGCGGTATCTGCTTTAATCTAGAGGAGCAGTATGCAAAGCACAATGGCTTACTTCCAAATCTGGCAAGCTCTGTAGAAGACTTTAGGGCATAAATAAAAAAGATGCGTTCCTGACAAACTAAATTTTGACATTTTAGCTTGTTTTTGATATCTAGCTAGGTAATAAATTTACAATGTTGCTAATGGGAACCTGTTGACGTTTTGTATACATTTGATGAGAGTAAATTTTGTTTCAGCGCGTGCTATGACTGTCCTAAACGACAAACATAAAAACTGTGGTAGAAGCTTCCTGTTGAGAGTGGTGGTGCATACCTTGGAAAACATATTGCGGAGAGATATATGGGTGTAGTTGTAAACTTGCATTATTTTCTTAGAATAATATAGTTTTATATAGTTATAGGGCGGGTATATTACATTGTTATACTCCTACATTGTCACAGGGTGCTCAACTTCACCTGCTATAATCACACATCGTCATAAGATGACTAGCCTACATTGCCTTAACTTCGCTTAAATTATTACAACAATGCATCGTTACAGCGTGAGTAGCGAACGCTAATCAACGTCGAATAATAATTAGCCAACTTTAAAAATATAGAATTCGTGCGAGCAAATGCTCAGTTCACTTCACATACCACGCTTCGTACAAGCTCGGAGAACGCACATTTCGTCCTAGTTATAGGTTTATATCAAAGTTTCAACCTCCTCAGTCCCAAGAATGCACCAACTGGAAGAGCTTTAGCAAAACTGAATTATTTGGCTTCCTGCGCTGTGTGTTAAGAAAAAGTGGGTAACGATTCAGGAGGAAGCAACAAAAGGGAGAAGGCAGGGAGGTTAGCCAGAAAGACATCCGGCTAGCTACCCTACACCGGGGGATTAGGGAAGGGCACAAGAAAGATGAGAAAGAGGGAAGATAGGAAAATAAAAAAAGAGAAAGACTGACAGTAATTTCACTGCAGCGTGTAGAACTCCACGGCATGTCAGAGGCGTTCACTTAAGCCTGTCTTTCTCAGGGAACACAAAAGGGCTTTCACTGCCTTGTGGGCTGTCGAGACATGTGGACGTTGCTGTAATAGCACCTGCACAGAAAGAGGCCGATCATCAAGTCGCCGCATTGCGTTGGCAAGTACTTGTTTGTCTGAGGCAAATCGAGGACAGTGGCACAGCAGGTGTTCGATATTTTCGTCGGTGCCGCGACAATCGCACACCGCACTGTCAGTCATTCCGATTAACGTGGCATAAGCTTTCGTGAAAGTAACTCCCAGCCAAAGGCGATAGAGAAGTGAAGCTTCACGTCGATGTAGGCCGGGTGGAGGCCGGAGTTGTAGTGAAGGGTCAAGCTCGTGCAGTCTTGTACGTCGTATGCTTGGTGTGTTCCACTCAGTCAGTGTGAGACTGCGGGCCAGTTGACGAATCTGCCTCGCCGCGTCCACTCTTGAAAGCATAATCAGAACGGTTTGCTTCTTCATGTGACGTGCGAGCACCATGATCTGCATAATCATTCCCGCCTATACCACAATGGCCAGGTAACCACTGAAAGACGATGTCGTGGCCTTTTTGTATTAAAAGGTGGTGAAGTTTCATGGATTTGGTAGGTTCAGAGTACCAGGTACTCTACTATGGGAGAGCTGAAAGCCATTCCGCGGACCTCACACACGTCCTACCGAATTCCTTGAGTAAGTCTGTGTTTAGAGAAAAAATGTTTAACGACTTCGAATGCTTCATACCCAACTTTGGGAGAGGCACATGAGCCGTCCCGCTAAAATCACTAGCAAAAAAAGCTCAGAGGATTCTAAGGGTGGCTGCATCAACAAAAAGTAAAAACGTTATGAACTCGAGAAATTAAACAGTTGTCTCAAAGTGTGGTGGTACCCATTGTGTACTCCTCAACTTGGAAAGAGATGATTTCTGAGCACATCACCCAATTCGACTGACTCCACCCATGTGATCTTCGCGGAATACCGAGGTATTAACCATCCTTTTCATGTCAGTTCTCGCTAGTGACAACATGAGACGCCTTAACCGAGAAGCCAGTGTCTGTAGCAGCTAGAGGCACTGCTGCCGAACGAAGTAAAGGAAGTGAGAGTGAATAGCCGCAAAAACATCCTAGTGATTGACGTCAATCATGTGAGCTACGCTTGACAGATTGCGTGAAGTAACGGAACGTAATGGAATGAAAGTCCACTCTCGTATACCGCTGGGCAAAGAAGTGAGCACTGGGGTGATATATCATGTTGCCGAAGCCATTACCGACTCCGACCTACCAGCCTTGATAAGGCCGGCTTCGGAAGATGGCAAGATTACTAGTGTACGTCATCGGGACATCACGATGCGTAATAATTACATTTAAGGGGGAATCACCTCCATCACACGTAAAAATGGGTTACTTCCGACACGCAGTTCGTCCGTTTATACCAAAGCCACTTCAGTGCTGGAGGTGTATGAAGCTAGGTCACGTAAGGGGTGTGTGCATGAACTCTACTATCTGTTCCCCATGCACTGGGCACCACAACAAGGATACGTGCCAGGCCACGACTATGAAGTGCTCAAACTACAATGAAGTGCTCCTCCGATGAGGGCACATGATGCCTCATCGAAGGGCTGTCCTTTTATTTGAAAGGAGCTAACAATACTAAAGAAAAGGGCCCGAGATGACATCTCATACCGAGAAGCAGCTGTATCCATTACGCGACGACTGTCCCGTCGCCGGCGCTGCACCAAAGCCACCAAAACCTCGTCGCCTCGCGAAGCACGTCCAAAAGCACTCCCACCTCCCCCACTCCGGCCAAGTGCTGTCGGTTTCAAGAACAAAGGCACCTCTGCTAGGCAGTGGAGCAGACGCTTCATCCTTATTCCCCAGTCAGAACGCAGTCGTTTTAAAGGAAAATGATGTCTCTGCCAGCAATGCGGGTGACGCTTGGCCCGAACTCCCAAAGATACAAGCACCTGATGAGAGGCACCAGATTTCGACAGGGAAGGACTCTTCATTGGTACCTCATAATTTGACGGACAAAGGACAACTCATAGCCATGGTTAGCGCCCTGGTCAGTGCTATGCGCGTGCTGCTGAGAAAGATGCAGACACCGACAGCTCGAAGCGTGTTGCAACTGCTTGTCACCGTTACTCCAGTTCTCGCAAGCCTTCAGAAGTCTGCTGCTTGAGAACGCAAGCGGCACCATCACGGCTTCACTATCGGCAAGATTTTGGGTGCATGGAACCTGCGCATACAAATAAATGCAACGAATGGGCTTAATTGATTAAGACACGGATGTGACTCACTGTCTGTAATGTTAAGCATATAACCTGCCGTTTTGTCAACTGGCATGAGTGACATTTCGTTCCTCTCTCTCTCTAACTTTTATTCCCCTTACCCTCTCCCCAGTGCAAGGTAGCCTACTGGGCTCAGCCATGGTTGACCTCCCTGCCTTTCTTTCAACCTTATTCTCTCTCTCTCTCTCTCTTCTCTCTCTCTCTCAGTTTCTGAAGTCTCTATGATTGCATGCAACAAAAATATCAGACAGAAATAACTTTATACATGATCTTCGGGGCGTCCACAGTTAAAGGAATGGACTACAGACAATGTTCTTTATGCTATAACTAAGAAAAAAGGGTTTAGTTTTACGTCAAGACACCGTCGAACACTCGTGCACGGCTCAACCATTTTCGTTCACTCGTTTTTCGAATATGACTAGACACATGGCGCCGCTTCTCTGGGCTTAGGGAAATCAACTCATGCTTATGGTGGCAAGGTATTTTTGGACGCGAGGATATCTAATTGTGTTGAACTGTACACTTTAAAAAAAAAGGTAGCCAATTGGTTACCCTGGGACCGAGGAAGTCAATGCCTACGTAGAAAGCCCAGCCTCGTAAGTGCGTTTTTTATGAGCTCAGAGTGAAAGTTATTGCTGTATTAACTGTTAAAAGTTATCATTCGTTAAACAGTACTTTCGACGCAAAACAACATTGCCTGTTTCTTTGTTCTCTCCTTCCAGTACCTATCGTGTGCGGAACACGAGGAAGACACTATAGTGGATGGGGTAAGCGATATGTTTTTCCTTTAATACGGTATAGGCTTTCTTGGGATACATCGTTTGGGATACTTCGAAACAAAAATTTTGATTTGTCTGTCTGTCGACTTGTCTGTTTTTTCACCCTTAACGGCTTGTCTTCTTACCTTTTAGTTTGTTGCTCTTTAGTTCCAAAATCCAACCATGCACAATCGCAGCGGCCACTAATATTGCTCTGGATTCTGCGTTCAAATATGTGCATAATATCGATTAAAAATCAAATGCTGCCCATATACGTGGCAGAACACCAACACCTCTATATAATGTGGCGCGTTTCTTTGCACTATAAAAGCGATATATAAGCAATGGTAAGGAACGTAGCGTTTATTACGCTAAGCTGACAATGAAAAGCTGTGCACGAAAAGGCGGGTGTCCTCTGCGTTTTTCTAAGACGATAAGGTGTTGGCACCTACACGCTGTGCGCATCCAGGCAATTATACACAGCGCCTCCTAAAATCCCATTCACCGACTTTCTCGCACAGAACATCAAATGAATGCTTTATTCACCCTCTACAAAAAGAAGACTATTTTCAATCGATGACATTTGCAGTGAGACATGCAGATACGGGGCCAATTTTTCATATATGAAATATTTGGCGCAGCTTAGCCTGACTCGTTCTGGCGCCAATAAACCCAATATAACTAGCTACATATGAAATATAGGAATTTAAAACAAAGTGTGCGCATTGTTTTCATGGTCAAATAAAACTCGCCGGTATTATACCCGCCGACATATGCGTCCCATTCAATCTCGACTTGAAGCGCTAAAAACTTGAGCTGTAAAAACGGCCAAATGAATTTCGCCGGGTGAACTTTAGCTGAGTTAACTTTAGCAGTGCGAGCTTTACCAGTGGGAATGGTCATCTGCACAGCCAATGTTGTTCTGACATTCTAAAATTTTGTCTCAGTTCTCGACAGTTGATGAATGCCACGCATTACCGTGTTCAATATAGGATGTAACACGCTATCTGCGATCAGAGCAACGCTGTCGATGAGCACACGAATAAAAATCCAGTGCTTCAACAATACTCGTGCTCTTGGGCTGTCTTGTTGGAGCTATAATACTTTGACCCACAGAGGTTTGCGGGCAGTTTTGGTAAGTATACAGCGTTCTTCGTCATGGCGCAACACTGCCTTCACTTCGGGCACGTGCTGCGCGGGGAACGGCAAAGCCCTGCCAGCTTTTTAGAGCACAGTCCTACATGGCTATGATGTTTGTCGGTTTGTTCGTTCCTGTGCAGACAATCCTAGAGCAGGTGTGCGTCATAGGGATCGGGCAAACACCAGGGTCGCCACTGAGTATGAATAAGGAAACACGCGCGCAGAAAACACGAACGTATGTGCCGAACGCTTTCGGCAAGCCTCACTACTCAATGCGGGAGGTCAGACAAGGCGGCTCATGACGGAGAAGAGGACGACGAAGTGATAGAAGAACGTTCTTTGCTTTCTGTGCTCCTGCAAATTAGGTTTTTCCGGCCGTGAAAAGCTATTTACAGTGTTGAGGACAACATCAGCTGTGACGCCTGACAGCAGAAAGGGGCGTGACGGTACTAAACGCCGACGTTTCACCGTCACCGTGGCGGACGGAACCAGCCAGGATGTGCAAGAGTGGCAAGGGCCACCTTTACTACAGCGTGGCTTCGGAACCAATGAGCGTAAAAGTCAACCTGGTGCTACCATGGTTTCTTACATTAGGGCACCAACACTCGTTTTGGAGGCGATGAGGAAACCTGAAGACATGTCGAACGAAGGAAGCTCTGCGAAAAAGGCTGAGAGTGGAAGAGCATACGGACAACATGCAGGAGGGGACATCGACCTACTCTTTTATTGATGAAGATATTGAATCTCAGGAGGACGCAGATCCTTTCACTCAAGTGACATATAAAAAGAGTGAATTTGAGGGAATTCCTGTGGTGTTCCGAGCAATAGAGGAAACGAGAACCTTCTGGAAAGTAAACCCAAACGTTGTAGCCTCGGAAATTGTTGCACTTGCTAAAGAGAAAGTGCGTTCCTTCCGAGTGAACAAAGATGGAAGTTTATCAGTCACCGTAAGCTCTCTTGCTTCAGCCAAAAGCTTGTTGTCTTGTGCGCAGGTGGCTGGCTTGCTGGTGAAGCCATTCATTCCGGAGTCTTACATGCGAAAAGTAGGCAAAATCAGACATGTGCCTCTAGAGTACACAGAAGAACAACTTACAGAATATTTATAGAGAGGCAGGAGTGATGTCGGCTAGATGCCAGATTCGTTACATACGACAAGAAGATGGCACTGTAGCATCACACCCACTGAGAAGTGTGATTTTACAATTCACATATGACAGACCTCTTCCAGAGAAAGTATTCCTTGGATTTACAAGCCATCCTGTTGAGGAATATCTGGGCCCAACAAGACGCTGGTATAATTGACAGAGGTTCGGACATTTGGCGAAAAATTGCCGAGGAACAAGGCGCTGCAAAATATGCGCCGAAGACCACCATCACAAGGACTGCAAATCGATAACACAACCGAAGTGTGCCAATCGCAAGGGGCCCCACGCTGAGTCGTTCTCTGGATGCCCACAGAACAAGGCGGCTTCTCTTCAATATCAACATGACATCATCTATGGTCGCACGCAACAACATGACGCGCCTGAGCCCAACGTCAACACCATGAACCCAGCACGACCTCCTCGACCGCAAGCACCTAAACGCCAGGACCATGTAATGACGTACGCGCAAGCTGCAAGAGGACAACGAAAGCATGGAAAAAGTGCGGGGACATCAACAAGCCAGCAGCAAGCTCGACAAGAGTCTCAGGAGGGACCTCAAGAAAAAGTAACCACGTGGTTAACATACGAAAAAGCACTAGCACATCGCATCCAGTAAGTGTAACGCAACCAGAAAACTCCTCTTTGTCGATAGCTCATATTGTCATACCAATGTTATTCTCGGCTTTAAAAGCCATACTAGCCGCGATCCCACAGGCTAACAACCTTCCTGAGGTCAAAGCCATCTTGTCGATGGAACAGGTAGTGTTCCAATTAGCCACAACAGTCACTGCGCAGGCAAAACATGAATAATTGTTATCAAAATGTCGTGATCTTCCAATGGAATGCGAATAGTATTCGCCCTAAGTGTGCAGACCTCCGAAAATTTGTGGCTCAGAGCTCCTTTCCAGTGTTATGTATTACAGAGGCCGGGTTAGACATCACTTTTCGGTTATCGAACTACGTTGTGTATAGGTTCTCTAGATATACAGGACCGAGCAGAGCAATGATGTGTGTGAGAAAAGATCTGCCATCAGTACAGTTGAATGCTACATCAGCGGATTATCCAGAATATGTTGCATGTGAGGTTAGATTTGGTCGAGTAAATATAACAGTAGTCAGCGTTTATCTCCAGCCTTCCACAAATATCTCGCTTTCTGCATTGACAGCACTTTTCCGGACGTACACGAAAACTGCGATATATTGCGGAGATTTCAATGCTCACAATGTTATGTGGGGAAGTGCGTACTGCGATCGTCACGGAAAGGACCTACAAAAAGCAATTCAGGATAGTTCATTATGCTTGTTAAATGACGGTTCAGTGACGTTCCTACGGGGTTTCAATTACTAGAGTTGCCTAGACCTTCACGCTCTGCTCACATTATATTGCATCTGGGGCGTCATGGCAAACAGACATTGAAACAAGGGGTAGTGATCATTTACCTATCCTAATACAGCATCCAAAACTACGCTTTACTAAATATAGGCCCTCAGCAAAGATAACTAACTGGCAAGCATTTCGTTATCACATATCACATCAAGCTGATACTGTTACTGACACTGACAGCTTAGTATCACTCATAGAAAACAAATTAAATCACTGTTCCAAGTTAGTTAAAATTCCTGAAGGTTACGTTGGAGTAGACGCTGAATACGAAAGACTTAGGGCCATTCGCCGCAGAGATGAAAGAAAAAACAGACGCACGGGTCTACTTGATGATTACCGCGACTGTCAAAGAACGCATGACCGCATGAGACGACAACTGGATAGACTAGGCAAAAAGCGCTGGCGGGTTTTCCGCATTTCCCTAACGCCATTTACACCCGAGTCAAAATTATGGAATGTTCTACGCTCTTTAAGTGGGACAGTAACACATCAACAACCACTTAGAGCCTTAGCGTTAGTGAAGAATGTACCGGAAACAACCGTTGCGGACGAATTTTGTCAGCATACTACACGACCTAGTGCAGCTGGGCACACGCCTGAATACATTAAGTCTGTTGGGGATAATTAAAGCATTGATTACTTTTTCTCTCAATACACATCATGATGACCTAGATCATCCGTTTTCACTGCAAGAATTAAATAAAGCTCTTGCAGTGTGCCGATAGAGGACAGCAGCTGGTCCTGATAGGATAACATATGTAGCATTAAAAAACCTGGGTTCTGTGGCCACATATACTTTGTTGAAGATATTTAATAATGCATGGACAACAGAGAACCTTCCACCCTGCTGGAAAGTTGCAAGAGTGGTCCCAATTCTCAAACCCGGAAAAACGCCTTTATCCATAGATTCTTTCTGCCCTGTAAGCCTGACTAGCTGTCTTTGTAAACTTATGGAAAAGATTATAGATGCTAGACTTCAGTGGTGGGTGGAATGTACGAACGTGCTTCCAAAAAATGTGGCAGGTTTTCGTAAACGCCGCTGCACCATGGATGCCATTCTAGACATTGTAACTTATGTAGACCATGAAAAGAGCTGTGGAAGAATCGCCGTTGCAGTATTTTTAGATATAAAGCGAGCATTTGACACAATCAGCCACGCTCATGTACTACACGGTTTAATTCAGTTGAGAATAGTAGGCAGGACACTAAGATGGATTGCAGAATTTCTAACAGACAGGAAAATCTTCATTGACACGGCTTACGGTAAAAGTAAAGAGCATGAAGTTAGTCAAGGAGTCCCACAGGGTAGCGTACTAAGCCCATTTTTATTTAATTGCTTT